TAAAGGGCTTAATACAATACTTTTTAATAAAAACTGTTTGTAACTTATGAATAAATACACTGGACTACAAGGAACTTTTATTAGAAGCAAAAATATACTTTCCTTTTTTAACTTTTCGCGCTGTTTTCAAATCTGCAATTAGATATTTTCTATCACTTTTAATTTTTGATATTATTACTAACTAGTAGAAAATAAGTATTTAACTATAAAAAAAATTATTAAAACAAAAAAAAAATTTTGTTTTAAAATTAGTACTGATTTTGATTTTTAGTATGTTAAAAATAATCAGTGCAAATAATCATTTTTAACCTATTTTTTTGTGGTATTTTAAAGTTGATTTTTTGAAACTTTATAATAAAAAAATTCCTCAAATATCATTGCTTCAATGTAAAGCCATAAACATACCAAAACAAGTTGATGGTTATAACTGTGGAGTTTATATAATATACTACATTATTACAGTAATGAATAAGTCACATTTTGACAAGAAGTTCAACCCTAATACTTATAAAAACGAATTAAAAAGTTTATTACTAAAAAATTCAGATGACATGGCAAACATATGTTTATATTGCCAAAATTATATATTAATTTTATATTAATTCAATTTAAATATTTTTACCTCAAGACAATATAACAGTAAAATACCTTCTCTGCTTCATATCAAAACTAAAAAAAATGTTTGGAAGACTTAACAGCCAACCTGGTGTCTCCTGAGTATCGCTAATAGGTTGCAGTATGAAAAATCATAAAACTGCTACGTCCCAATTTACTGCTACCGTTTTTTAAATAATTAATTCTATAGATGAGTTTAGAGTTTTATATTAAAAACATAATGTATTAATACGTTAATATTAATTCGTTGGATAGTTTGAAAAATTTATTTATCGTATCAATCACTTAAAACTTTCAGACCCATCTTTTCATTTTTAATTAAAATGGCTGAAAAACAATTTTTTAATAATGAGTAACTCTAAGATAAGTTAAAAATAATTTAAAAAAAATTTATTTTCAAATTTAAACTTTGACTTTTGCATTATCTTTGGCTTTGTTGCTTACATTATTTAGTATCATTCAGTGTTTAAATAAGTGTTCTTATTATAAGTTTACGATCACAAAAAGAATGGTACTGATAAGATTAGTATGCAGTCCAGAAATGTTATAATTACTATTATATACTATTATATATCACTATTATCATAATAAATAATTTTAATAAAAATCATAATAATCATTTCTATATAACTCTTGATTAATTTAAAATTGAAATATTCAGAACTTAATTAATTTAAATGATATGCTTTAAATAATAAAAACCAATCAAACATTAAAAAAAATTAATCAGTTGAGCATTTATAAAAATTGATTATAATTGTATTAATCCATTATATAATAAGGTAACCAAAAATCATTTAAAAAGTAACATTATATCAAATAACATTGAATATTTTAGATTGGTTTTATATTTTCTTTGCTCTCACTTGACCTACTTTTTTTAGCAATACGTCAAATGATTACAACTCGTATCTAGTTGAAGATATTACCCTCAAAAATTAAAAAAAATTTCACTATATTAATTAAAAAGTTACTTAGCTCACATTCTCCATATAGATAATTAAAATTATTAATTTTAATGTTTTCAAAGTATTTATTGATGAATTAAGTTTGATATGATAATAGGTGCCAACTATAAAATTAAATCATTTTACTTTGTTTTTTATTAATTTCTTGACTACGGTATACTTTACGGTATAAACAATATGTCAATAGATCAATTGAATTTNATACTTTACGGTATAAACAATATGTCAATAGATCACAAATCCTATTTAATCGAAGACATTAACCTTAAAAATTGAAAAAAAAGTACCTCGTTCCCGTAAATGGGGGAAATCCACCAAAAAATTACAATTTTGTCATTTTTTTCTTAAAACTGCTACAACTTTTTAAAAAATAAACGAATCAGCATAATTTTAGCTTCGATGCGAAGCTGAGAAGGTATTAATTTTACCATGATGTGTTTATTTTTTTTTTTTTTTTGTGTCTGTCACTACTTTTTCTCAGCTCTCACTGGACCGATTTCTTTTAACAATACGTCAAAAGATCACAAATTGTATCTAGTTGAAGACATTACCCTTAAAAATTTAAAAATTTTCCCTCGTTCCCCGCAAATGGGGGAAATATCCAAAAAAATTACAAATTTAAAAATCGACAAATTTTGTCATTTTTTTCACTTTTTTTTCTTAAAACTTCCATAACTTTTTCAAAAATCAACAAATCAACATAATTTTTTTTTAAACTAAAACCTTAGATATTTTCCTTTCATTTGATATAATTTTTTTGAAAATTTAACACTTAACCTGCTCATGGGGGGGG